GACTAGAAAAAAAGGGGAAAGGATCATGGGAGCACTAAAAGAGTAAAACAGTTAAAAGAAAAGAGATTGTAATTAAAATTTGGAAGGTTTAAAGATATTGCACGAAACAGATATTATTAGCAGGGTCTGTACTAGGTAAATACAGAACAGAATTTTAAGTGAAGTAAAGAATTTTCTGTAAGATAAATACCATGGTCTGGCTAAAATGAAATTCTTGAACTAGAGGCCATGGGAGTGTGAAGAAGTTGATTATATTTCAAGATCCTTTCATGACTTTCAGCAAGAAAGCTCCCCTTGACCAGATTCAAGAGAATCTGATATTTTCTGAGATTTGGGCTGGAAGAAGTTAGTTCATCAGAATTCTATGTTTGTAGAAAAGAGAACAAGGCCATTTTATGTTGATATTGAAGTTGTTTCAATCTACATTCACTTATTCTGTGCATTAGTTATCATGCAAAGGTCCTAGCAGCTCTTTTTTTCAGGTAGATTCACTTATTCTTAGTTTTCTTATTCCAAAGTAAATTAATTTCCCTATCCTTCCTTGGATTGGGCTCCAGGGTTCACTCTCTCTCCAAGGTTCACCGGTGCCCTTTAGCTACTGTTATATATTTATAGAGAACTGAATCCAAGACATCCCTATTAAAGAGGTCTTTTATAATTGCTGTTCTCTTGCAGTAAGATAAATTTCGGCCTGATGGATTTCAAGATATGGAGATGAAACTTCACTCGCTAGACAGGTATGAGATGACATTGAGAAGGATATTTCATTATGTCATTATATTCCATTATAATGTCACATGTGTATGTACTAGGAGCTTTTGTAATGGTGAAGACATTTATGGTGGAGAAGTTGAAAGAATCATTTGAAAAAAGAAATGTGCAATAGCAGAGTCTAATAATGCCTTAGAAACATATTACACATAGGACAGTATTGCAGTGCGGCTGGTTGGGTGGTAAGATTTTTAAAAAGTGGTCTGATAATGAAAGAAATGAGTATTTCCAGACCCTGGATGAGACTTGAAAATAGCATTCAATCAGAATCTAATCTTAAGCAAGATGAAACTGAATGACTGCTCCACAAGGGTCTCAGCTTGCCTTTTTTTGAGAAATTGCTCTCTTCTGCTTAGGCAGAGATATATAACCACAGCAAGGTATTTTAGCAAATATATAGACCCATAGAATTTCAGAATTGAAAGAGACCACAGCGATGATAGAGTTCAAATCTTACACTTTATAGACAGGGAAAAAGAGACTATAGAGAATAAGAGTGTTGAGCGTTGCTCAAAGTAATTCAGCTAACTAGTCACACACTTCACTATCAAATCTAATTCTCCAAGGTTAATGTTTAATAAACGTTATTTCCTAAAACAAACAAAAAACAAGATTTCTAGCTCTTAGAGACTTTTCCAAGGCATTTAATATGAGAAATATCCTGAAGCTAAAATAAAGGAATTAAGCAAGAACAGATAAGTAACCCATGGTACTTAAAGACATCCACTTAAGCAGGAAGCTCAATTCTCTTAATGGAAGGTGAATGCATGGGATATGAGGTTATCCATCCCAAACTATTTAGCTTGCTTTTCTAATAATAGCTTGTAGTTCCTGCTTGGATTCATAGCTAAGTAGTAAAGTAAGTATGTGGAATAATGCATGATAATAACCAATTACATCTTAGGTTCTTGGAAGTCTGTTGGTCTCCTAATTTTTCCCTGTAGAGATAGCCCTCTATACTCCATGAGCTCATCTTGTCCTGGTTGTTTCCTGCTTCAATAAAGGGCTAGGTTAACCATTAATCCTGAGGGAACCAAAGTATTGTTATAAATCATATCCCACTAATTGGAAAAGTTCTTCAGAAAGACAGTGG